TTAAATGACGATAGAGATGTATCGCCAGTCAAGTGTCATTAGGACGTTATTAGTTTTTGAAACGTCGCAGTCGGGTTTCATTCTACTTTCTTTGGTCCCTCTTTCTCGGCTGCCTTCTTCTCTTCCAAAGTTTAATAGTTTAAATATGTTTTTCCTATTTTTTTTTTTTTTTCTTAGAGAGAGAGAGGAAGGGAGGGGGAGAGAGAGAAACCTAGGTGTGAAAGAGAAACATCGATCAGTTGCCTCCCATGTGCACCCATACTGGGAATTTTTGGTGCCAGGAATGACCATCAACCAACTGAGCCACACTGGCCAGGGCTCTCCCAAAGTTTAACAGTTTAATTTCTTTAGGAAAGATGCTAGCTAATCCCTTTTCCTTTCTCACTTTTATTATTATATATATATACACACACACACACATATATATATTTTGCTTAAGAAGTCTTATCTTCACCGATTCTTCAACAATGTATATTTTCTGACAAAAACAAACAAACAACAGAAACAAAACTGCAGCCCTTGCTGCAAACTCCACACTACCATCCGTAGGGCCTGTTCACCACCTGAAGGCTTCCAGTGCCCTCGGCCGCAGCAGGTCCCAGCAGCTCGCGTGACCCTCCCACACAAACTGCTCTTCCTCCAGGGTCTCCTATCTTGATTAAAGACATCCTCAGGCACCCGGGCAAGTCAAAAACCTGGGGGGCCATCTTCAACATCCCCCTCTCTCCAAACCACCACAAAAAGGAGACTTGTAGTTTCTTAAATATCATATCATTCATATATATCCACTTCTCTTTTTTCCTGTTCCCACCGGTTTAGCTTAAACTACCAGAATCATCTCTCAGCTCTGGCAAGCCCCGCCTCATTGTTTCATAAAATCTATCCTTGTGCAGTCCCCCATCCTTCCAATTTCCACACAGGAGCCAAAAGCAGCACAGAAAAATGCAGCTTTGATTGTGTCTTCCCTCCGCTTTAAACCCTTCAGTGGCTTCCAGCTGTTATTAAGGTGAAAACGTGCTTAATGAAGGCAGACAGGCCCTGCCAGGTCTTCCCCTCGCCTGTCCCTCCCGTCTCCATCGAGGGCCCAACTCCCGTCCGCCCGAACCCCTGACAAGTTGGCCTTTTCTCCTTTTCCCAAATGCTCCATTTTCTTTCCAGCGGCAGGAGCCTTCCGCAGGCAGCTCTCTCTCTCTGCTCAGCTGAAATGTTACTTAGGACAGAACTCCCTCGGGGCCACTTGGGTCTGTGAGAGAGGCAAAGCCTGTGAGCCCCAGAAAGGTCCCGTCTGCAGTCGGTCCCTAACTCCCAGGAACCGCCTGCGTCCCACGCAAACCTGCTCACCTTTCCCCCAGCGACCTGACCTACATTTGAAGGGATGTTACAACCAGCAGTTTTGGTTAACCCTTTTTTTTTTTTCAAAGGACCTCCTTAGGGCAACAGATACTTTCTTGCTTTATAGTTTTTACAGTTACATTGTCATATTTCTTACACTTACATAATTAAGAGGCTTCCTTCAAGAGATTCTTAGGATATACTCTGATGACGTGCTGTCTACTGATGGCAAAAACTGACAAATATATTTACAATTTTTGCTCTCAGTCTATTTTTAAATCATTTTGTATTCTTCTTAAAGAGTAAATATATGTATGTATAGATTTTTTAAAAAACAAAATATATAAAAAAGGTACACAATGAAATGTAAGTCTCCTCACAGCCCATCCCTCTCCCACAGGTAAAGTATCCATTATTAAGTCTCTTCGTATCCTTCCAAAAGTACTCCATGTACACATAGTCCAAACACCCCCTCCACACACACATTTATTTATAGAAATGAGGCCCTGCTACAGCTCTCTTCACTTAACCAGGAGATCATCACAGCACACAGAGACACTCTTACTCTCCTTCCTCAGCTCTGCACTTGGGGCGAAGTGTATCCCTTTGCGGTGTAACATGATTTACCGAAGCCACCCTCTTTATTCAACTTGTTAATAGACATATATGTTATTTCCAGTCTTGTGTGGTTACAAAAAACATGCACCAATGTTCCATGAAATTGCTATATCAAAGGGTATTTGCTATTAATCTTTTTGAAAGATGATATCAAATTGTCCTACGAAAAAGCTGTGCCCCTAATTTACAGCATGGTGACTATAGCTAGTGATAATATATCATGCCCTTGAATATTGCTGAGAGAGTAACATTTTAAATGTTCTCACCACAAACAGAAATGTAAGTGTGTGACAGGATGGAAGTGGTAACTAACAGTTGGTGGTAATCATTTTGCAATTTATAAATGCATCAAATCCAACCTTATATACCTTATACTTACACAATGTTGTATGTTCATTATATCGCAATAAAGCTGGGTGGGAAAGCAAAAAAAAAAAAAAAA